AAAAAAAAAAAAAAAAAAAAACGATGTAAGGGAATAAAAAATCAAGGATGGATTTAAAGAAGTGTGGCAACATTGTAAAAACAGGGTAAGGAAGATTAAAACTCTAAATAAGTCTTGTCATATAGTAGGTCCTCAAAAATATTTGTTGAATGAATAAGCTGAAGCTTGTGTAAAATTTGTCATCTATAATATTCTGCCATGTGGGATTTTTGCTCCTTAGAGAAGATATCACGTCAAAAGCAAGAAGGAATAGCCATTTAAACACTATTTTGCTTCTCTGTTTTTCACAACAGGAGAGTAGTCTTTAATCTGGAGGAGGTGGACCAAATAGAGAGGATAGTAGCACAAGATGGTGCTACTGTCATGAGCCACTTTCAGTGAGTTCAATTTTGGTGACGTACAGATGCAGTAGGGTCTAAATGAAGGAAGTATTCTTCATTGTTGTAACCTGTCTTTATCTGGCTTCATCTAGGGTAGGGAATCTAGCAAAGAAGTAAAAATCATGGGCTTTGTAGTCCAAAGAACCAGGTTTAAATTCTGACTTGGCTACTTTGGGAGCTGTGTGACCTTTTACAAGTAACTTGGTCTCCTTTGGCCTCAGCCTTCTCCATTTGTAAAAATAGGGACAGTAATCCCTACTTTACAGAGTATTGTGAGGATTAAATGAGATAAAGTATGCAAAACTCTTTGTTTAAGTAACTAACACTTAGTAAATGTTCCCCCAAATGGGTATCTATTAGTAGTGGGTCAACCACACACTTGTGATTTTCCATGAGAGAGGAGTGATAAGGAAGAGGTCTCTTCATCTTTAGAATAGTGCCTGGCATATAGTGGCCTGTAAATATTTGTTGAATAAATAAGTAAATACATACAGATTCTCAAACCCCAAGTTCAGTGGCAGGGAGACTCTTGTGTAGGTAAGCTAGGATGGAAGGGAATAGCTTTTCCCATCTTTATTTTTAATGACAACATAATAATTCATTGTTTGGCTGAATTACAGTTCCTACAGTCCTTTCCCCATTTAGATTTAACCATTTTTCTTTCTTTCTTTCTTTTGTTTCTTCTCTTTTGAGACAGAATCTCACTATGCTGCCCTCAGAAAAGCATTGTGGGGTCAAAGCTCATAGCAATCTCAAACTCTTGGGCTTGACTTGATCCCATAGCACAGTGGTTACAGTGCAAGCTGAAGGTGGCGGGTTCAAGCCCAGCCCAGGCCACCTAACCAACAATGACAACTGCAACAAAAAATAGCTGGGCATTGTGGTGGGCACTTGTGGCCCCAGCTACTTGGGAGGCTGGGCCAGGAGAATCGCTTGAACCCAAGAGTTTGAGGTTGTTGTAAGGTGTGATGCCATGGCACTCTACCGAGGATGCATGGTGAGACTCTGTCTCCAAAAAAAATCCAAACAAACAAACAAACAAAAAAACTCTTGGGCTTAAGAGATTCTCTTGCCTCTGCCTCCTGAGTAGTGGGACTACAGGTGCCTGCCACAACACCCAGATATTTTTTTGTTGTAGTTGTCATTGTTGTTTAGGCTGGTCTGGGTTGGAACTGCCAGCCCTGGTGTGTGTGGCTGGCGCCCTGACCACTGAACTATGGGTGCTGAGCCTAGATTTAACCATTTCCTATTTAGGACATTTAATGGTTTCCAACTTCTTCTTCTTCTTTTTTTTGTTGAGACAGAGCCTCAACAAAAGTGCTTGAGGTGGTAATGGTAATGGTAGTGGTAATGGTGTCACATCTCACAGCAACCCCCAACTCCTAGGCTTAAGCGATTCTCTTGCCTCAGCCGCCCAAGTAGCTGGGACTACAGACGCCCGCCACAACAGCCGGCTAGTTTTTGGTTGTAGTTGTCATTGTTGTTTGGCAGGCCTGGGCTGGATTTGAACCTGCCAGCTCTGGTGTATGTGGCTGGCACTTTAGCCACTTGCTACAGGCTCTGAGTCTGTTTCCAACTTCTTACCATTGTAAATAACACTGAGATGAACATGCTCCCTTTCCTGACTCTTTTCTTGGGCTATGTTCCTAGCAAAAGTGTTGAAGAGTATCATTTACCAGAAAATTTACACTGTCTCTAGTAGTATATTAAAATGCCAATGTATGTTTAAAATATCAAGTACGATAAGAATGTATTGAAGCCACTTGGGATAAATTCCTACTGAGTGATGTATCATGTCTGAGATTCTGAAGAATTGGGTGGAGTAAATAGTAAACTGAGCTGTTAGGCACTAACAGTCACAACGGGTCTGTTGTCTCTGTTTTGCAAAGACAGGAGATGGGTGTTCTGCAGATAGGAAACAGGAACTCTGTGGGTGGACCTAAAAGGGAGTGTGGGCTTTGAAACAGGAAAACGAGAAGTCTGCTTCTGATAGTGAAAGAGATGCCTTGCCATGCTGTCTTGATCACCCGTATCCATCCTTGTGGGTCAAATCGTTACTCTATGTCTGTCTTATGCTATTCTATTTGCAGTTGTCTTATTTTGCTTTCTAAGTGTTACATTAGTTTCAAGTGTACTCTTTTATTTTTTACATTACAGAGAATGACATCCAACTAGTTGTTCAAGTTACAAACCAAGCAGTTATTTGATACTTCCTCTTTCTTACTCCCTACATCCAATCCTTCACTAAGTTCTGATGATTCTATCTCTAAAATATCTCTTTAGGGTAGCGTCTGTAGCTCAGTGGGTAGGGCGCTGGCCATATACACCAAGTCTGGCAGGTTCAAACCTGGCCTGGGCCTGCTAAACAACAACAACAACAATAATAGCTGGATGCTGTGGCAGGTGCCTGCAGTCCCAGCTACTTGGGAGGCCAAGGCAAGAGAATCACTTGACCCCAAGAGTTTGAGGTTGCTGTGAGCTGTGACACCTCGGCACTCTACCCAGGGTGACAGCTTGAGACTGTCTGAAACAACAACAATATATACATATCTCTTTAATTGGTTTAGTCTTCTTATCTTGACTTCCAACGTTCCAGTCCAAGCCACCATCATCTCTTGCCTAAAATACGGCAATGCCTGTTCCCTTATTTTCTAGTTTACTTTCTTGCTTCTGCTAGTGCATTTCCAAATTTCTACCTAAGTGATATTTTAAAAACTTAAATAGATGATATCATTTCTCACGATTTCTTTATTTGCTTAAAATAAAGTCCAAAGTCCAATTCGGTCTACAAAGCTTTGTACTATTCACCCCCTGCTCACTTCTCCAACCCCATTTTTTGCCTCTCTCTCTTTTGCTCCAAGTTTCAGTCACAATGGCTTTTCTGTTCTTGATTTTTAGCTCTTCCAGCCTTGAGGTCTCTGCATATGCCTCTCCCTGCACCTGGACTGCTCTTTCTGCCAACCCTAACCTGGCTAATTCTCATCCTGCAGGTCTCAGTTCAAATGTCACTCCCACAGAAACCTTCTTTAGTAGCAACCTCTTCTTTTCCTTTATGAACTTCTTACAAGAAAAAAAATATATTTCTGTCTTTTTCATTATCTCTAACGTGAGGTCATAGGTAATATATGACTATACCATTATATATATATACAGACTTAACATGTCTGGCACAGGCTAGCCGTTCTTCATTTAAATGAACCATAATGTCCAGGATACTGTTAGGAAAGAAGTGTGTCTTAACATATGGTTATTTATGGAAAATTCTCTGCTGTCACTTAAAAGTTAAGTTTATAAAATCAGGGATTTTCATATTTTATGTTACATAACTGAATTTGGAAGTTATTCTCTACAGCAAAAAACACACAAAGGCAAGTTATATTTATTCCAAACTTTAGAGTATTCCTAGTTTTTTTTTTTTTTTTTCCTGTCTTCTTGAGGGTTGAGGCAGCTTTGGGATCAGGGCAAGATTAGTTAACTGCTTTTCTATGGTTGGCACTTTGACATTATTTTTCTTTCTCACTTGGGGACATGGGTACTCACCAATAGGCTGTGACACAAAGCATGGAAATGTTGCTGATTTGTTTCTAGCTCATCCCAGTCCAGCTGCCAACAGCTTGTGGGTCTGAGGATGAACGGGAGTCCATAAGTCAATGACTCACAGACCCCGCTAGATTTTAGAGCCCTGGGAAGAGACAATCACAGAGAAAGACTCCTCAGTCATACCTAAAACCTCTACCCAGATCCACTTAAATTAAGATCATGTCCACCCTACTATAAAAATTTTTAGATTAAGGTCTGCAAATTTTTTTTTTTTGACAGCCTCAAGCTGTCCCCCTGGGTAGAGGGCCGTGGCATCACAGCTCACAGCAACCTCTCAGCTCCTGGGCTCAAGTGAGTCTCCTGCCTCAGCCTCCCAAGTAGCTGGGACCACAGGCACCCACCACAATGCCTGGCTATTTTTTGGTTGCAGCCGTCATTGTTGTTTGGCGGGCCCGGGCTGGATTCGAACCCACCACGTTAGGTGTATGTGGCTGGCACCTTAGCCACTTGAACCACAGGTGCTGAGCCAATTATTCATCTTTGTATGGCAAGTGTCCAGTATAGTATCTAGCACACAAAAGATTGTCAAAACTTAGGAACCTATGGATGGGCACTGTGGTAGGAACTAGGAAGCAGTCAATGTGGCCTCTGCCATCATTACTAATTCTACTCTAGATTGGTTTCTCAGGAAGGAAGAGTTCTAGTATTTACGAGAAAGAGTAGAGGGCATGGATAGATCTTATGTATCATTTATTCCTTAAAGATTGCATCTTTGTCCTGATGCCTAAATATAGTAGGTACTCAATGAGCATTTACCAAATGAAAAAAACCTTCCTACTGATATTGTTTTTCTCTGTGTTCAGAAACTTTCTGTATTTCTAATTCTCACCCAGACCTGACTGTTTTTTTTTGGTTTTTTTGTGGTTTTTGGCCAGGGCTGGGTTTGAACCCACCACCTCCGGCATATGGGGCCTGCGCCCTACTCCTTTGAGCTGCAAGCCCCTCCCCCTGACTGTTCTTCTACTGCACTTCTTCTCCCCTCTGCTCATCTGGCTCCACATGCTGAGTCGCTTGACCTTCATGCCATTACCTGTAACTGCTACTTTGGAACTAACTGTTGCTTGCCTGACACTTGGAGATAATGTCTATCTCTGGATTTCCCAGCCATAGAACCAGTAAGAATAGCATTTGCATGGATTGGGGAGGTTCCCTTAGATCATACTTGATCACTTGGAGCTTGTAACGAGAGGCTGAGGACTGGGAAGCCATCTGGTAGAGTGTGCTGAAGTCTCCTTTGGGGTCATCCATTCTCAAAGTGCCATCAGCTGTGCCAGGGAGGAGTGAAGGGCTGAGCATTCGTTCTTGGAGATCACATTTCAGGCACACTATAATAAAAGCAGCATTGGAGGTCACGAGTTACCTCAGGCTATGCCATTAAAGTGACAACATCTGCCACCCATTCCATCTGTACCAGGCAAGCAAGGGATGGGAGGAGGCAGGGGACTGGAAAGAGGAAAGCTTGACTGGTTTGGCAAGGTAGAGCAGGTTTGGAACCCACAGTATATCCATCACTCTACACAACAGCTAACTGATTTTCTGGGTTTGACATGGTTTTCACTTGTTTTACTTCTGGACTTAGCTGAGCAGTTGTCTCATAGTGAGAGATCCGGTTTATGAGGAACATGGGTTTATTCCTCACAAACTACAGAGAAGGCAGCTAAAGCCAAAATATGCAGAGGCCTTTTGGCAATCACAGAAGGAAATCTTGCCTCTGCTGCTTCCCTGTGGCAAAGCTTTGGCAAGAATGCAGGTCATATGAAGGCAAAGTAGGAAAGCAGAAGTCAGGCAGTCAGGTGACCACTGCTATTTCTCTGTGGGTTCTTTTAGGGACATGTGGTGGGGGAAAATAAGTTCCTGAAATGGTTTATTTTTTAATTTCTCAAAGAAACTGAGTAAAGGACCTTCTAGGGCTTGGAGCATTACTGCAGCACCAGACACCAGATCTGAGGAGGGCTTAGACTCAGTATGACCACTCATCTGGGTATTACACTTGCTGCATTAAACTGCTGCTTCAGTAGGTATCTTCACATGCTACAGTGGATAGTGCTCTGTTGCACTAGGCTTGAAGCCTTGATGTTACAAAGTTTTTCACTAAAACGTATACCTGGCTTGGGCTCGGCGCCTATAGCTCAACCGGCTAAGGCGCCAGCCACGTACACCTAAGGTGGCGGGTTCGAATCCCCAGCCCGGACCCGCCAAAACAACAATGACGGCTGCAACCAAAAAAAATAGCCGGGCGTTGTGGCGGGCGCCTGTGGTCCCAGCTACTTGGGAGGCGGAGGCAGGAGACTCGCTTGAGCCCAGGAGTTGGAGGTTGCTGTGAGCTGTAATGCCACGGCACTCTGCCCAGGGGGACAGCTTGAGGCTCTGTCTCAAAAAAAAAAACAAACAAAACAAACAAACAAAAAAAAACGTATACCTGGCTTGAATACTGATAACACACTTGCAAATATATGAACGTCAAGTACTTATGAGAAGGATAGTTAATTATTCGTGAAATGATTGTATTAACTGCAACATGAGGTAAAAACAAAAGAAGAAATAACAGAAAAAAAAAACAACTCAGAGTGGCAGAATAGATGTCAGATCCAGTTGGCCTTTCTGGCCCCGTGATTAAGTCCATGACATTAATTCTTGGTGAGATGGATCTTGGCTTGGAATGTCCAGAGCCCAGGAAGTCAGTAGGTGGGACTCTACCCAGGACTCCAGCTTCCCCTCATTTCTTCTGTGCCTGACCTCTCCATTTCTGGTCCCTAGGGTTTAGGACTAGACAGCTGTGCTCATCTTGGTGAGTTTCTCAATGATGGCTGCAGAAGAATCACCCAGGGAACTTCTAAAAAGTACAGATGTCTGGGCCCTACCTTAGACCAATTAAACCAGATCTCTGAGGGTGGGGCCAAGATATTGATACTTTAAAAAAGTTTCTCATGTGATTGTTATTGCAGTAAGGGCTGGGTTGAGAACTCCCCAAACTGTAGCCTTAGCAGAGTGTTACAAAGTTGGGAAAATCATTTTATCAGGGCTCAAATCTAGAGCCACGTGTGCTACTCATCATTCAGAGCCCAGGTGCACAGGTGCCAGACCCCAAACCGAACAAGAAGATATTCATCTGTTGTTCACTGTGCATTCTTTGTCAGAGGAAGGCCCTTCCAAGGGAAGTACCTGGAGAGGGTGTGAAGGGTTCTAGGCAGCCCAAAAGGCAGGTGGTGTAAGGTGGAAAACTCTATAAGGAGTCAGAATGAACATCTGAGGAGCACTCCTAAAAACAGTTTATAGGAGGAGAGCTCACGGCTTTTGTTTTGTTTTGTCTCATTTTTTTTTGTAGTGAGCCACAGGTCCAGAAATCCATGTGTGACAATGCATCAATTTTAAGAATAATAGATACATGTAGTATTATCTTTATTGTAGTTGTTTAAAATCTCTGGTGGGTCACATCCACCCTAGAGGCAGCCTAATTTCCTTGGACCTCATTCTAACTGTGCCTGAGTATCTGGATTTTAGTGAAGACTTTCCCATCAGAATAGCTGACTGGAGTCTACATGTACATTTCACTATGGCTGAGCATGGTGGCTCATGCCTGTAATCCTAGTATTCTGGGGAGCTGAGGTGGGTGGATTGCTTGAGCTCATGAGGTTGAGACCAGCCTGAGCAAAAAGCGAGAAACTGTCTCTACTAAAAATTGAAAAACTGAGGCAAGAGGATTGCTTGAGCCCAAGAGTTGGAGGTTTCTGTGAGCTATGACACCATGGCACTCAATCCAGGGTGACAGCTTAAAACTCTGTCTCAAAAAAAAAAAAAAAATTCACTATGAAAAAAATACAAATTCTACCATGCACCCTAAAGACTCGCAGATTTCTGAACAAATGATTACTGATAGAGATACACATTCTGGCTCTGATGCTGGTGCTAAAAGCCTTGGAAAAAGGGATGGGAAGCCAGAAAAAATCCTGATTAACACCTTGGACAAATGTCCTACAACAGTGGGAGATCATCTTGTTGTAGGAATCCTTGGCCTTTGAGGGTACTAGCCCTCCTAACGAGAAAAGTGAATCTCCATCATTCAGAATTTCCTGGTCTGGAGGCAGAGAGGCCTGGGTTTGATGTTCATAGTCTGGGCTGACAGTAGTCAAATGTACAAAATGTAAATTTCTGATTTTAATACTTAAGGATCAAACTTCTCCAACTCCAGATCCCTGGAGTTTCCTGGCTTCCAAACCTGGCTCTGCTATTAATTTTCTGTGAGGCCCTGGGAAGGTGATTAATTTCTCTAAGTCTTAGTTTCTCTTCTGTATAACAGAGATAATATTGTATTTAATTAATTCTAAGACACATTTTTTTTTTCACATACTAGCATCTCTGTATGTGTCTTACAATTTCCATTGGCCAGATACTCTTACCCCCTTACTAATCTAACCTAAAAGATCTCTCTCAATGAGCATAAAATAATACTTCTAAGTGAAAAGAGTGAGCTGTGTCATGTTTAATTGGCAATGCTTTCTTTCTTAGAGTACATAAGGTAGTGGTGTGTCTTATAATTGATAGCATTTCATTTTTTTTTTTTTTTTAGAGACAGAGTCTTACTATATTACCCTGGGTAGAGTGCTGTGGTGTCACAGCTTATAGCAACCTCCAACTCTTGCCTCAGCCTCCCAAGTAACTGAGACTATAGGCCCCCACCACAACACCCTGATATTTTTTTGTTGCAGTTGTTTAGTTGGCTCTGGCCGGGTTCGAACCCGCCACCCTTGGTGTATGTGGCTGGCACCGTAACTACTGTGCTATAGGTACTGAGCCTTGATAACATTTCACATAGTAATACTACCTACCTCATGATGTTGGGTGAGGATGAAATGGGATAATGCAAGGAAAGGAGTTAACTTATTACTTGGCACAGAGGGAGGGCTCAATAATATTAGCTGCAAACTAGCTTCTGCATAAAGTTGCCAGCCACCTTAAATAGGGAAAATAGGTAAGTGAATTCCAGAGGATAGGACAGGGAGAAGTTGGTAATATTAGCCTTGGAAAAGGGGGTGAAAGGCCTTGGGAAGAAGATTTGACACACAAAGGAAAGACAGCTTAAAACCAAGTTAACTTGTCAAAGGCACCCTAGGTTGAAATGTGGGAGATGAAGAGACCTAATGGGTATCCCTAGAAAGAGAGTCTTGGGAAACCATAATCCTGTCTAGTAACTCTCTAAAGGGCTCTTCCTTGTCTCAAAGAAACAATAGTCATGAAGAGTTCCATTACAGCTGAAGAAAAGGGAAATACAGCCAATAGCCAAGAGAGATCCCTCAGAGGAGGCAGTAACCAGAGTGGGTTGTGTGGGAGAGGAGCTTTGGTAAGTATCATGTCCAATCTAGCCTTCAGTCCTCAGTGATCTCTGTAGCTACCAATATCCCATTCAGTGAGAAAGATGAGTACAAACTCCTACCCTTAAAGGAGAAAACACATTTTAGTCCTTTCCCTTTGAGCTGGGCCCCAAAGAGTCAGCTTTCCCAAGCTCAGCGTGGTTAACTAGACTGATGGACCCATCTGCAGGCACTGCTACCCTAGGTCATGCCCCAACCTTCACAGAGGAGAGAAAGGAACAGTATCCAAGTTGGCATGCCCACTAGACTGATCTCTTGGTTTTAATGATTGCCTAAAGTGACAGTGGCTCTTCTGGTTCAAAGGAGTAAGGCGCCGGTCCCATACGCTGGAGGGGGCAGGTTCAAACCTAGCTCTGGCCAAAAACTGCAAAAAAAAAAAAAAAAAAATTGCCTAAAGTGCTTTGTGAACGTGATCTTGGGCTACTGGTTGTCTTCCTGGGGGCTTGTCTGTGTAGTTGCTTTGATTTTTCCTCAATTTGCTGCCTCCCTAGTGAGAAGATCTCTATTGAATGTTGGTTCACTTCCTCTTGCCACATGCTCTGTTGATATTGCTCAGGTACTGGCATGCCTGTAATTATAATGTCAATAGTATTTACCACATAAAAAATGAGCATATTGGGTGGTGCCTGTAGCTCAGTGAGTAGGGCACTGGCCCCATGTACTGAGGGTGGTGGGTTTGATCCTGGCCCCGGCCAAATTGCAACAAAAAAAGAGCCGGGCGTTGTGGCTACTTGGGAGGCTGAGGCAAGAGAATCGCCCAAGCCCAGGAGATGGAGGTTGCTATGAGCTGTGACTTCACAGCACTCTACTAAGGGCAATAAATTGAGACTTTGTCTCAACAAAAAATACATGAGCATATTGAGAAAAATATATGGTTCATTGTGTTCTTATGTAGTATAACTGATACCCTGTCGTTGAGGTGTCTATGACTCTGCCCTTAAACTAACTGGTCCTTGGTAGCTGGCCTAATTAGTCTCAGCTATCTAACTAAACTTTCTTTTTTTTTTTTTTTGTAGAGACAGAGTCTCACTTTATTGCCCTTGGTAGAGTGCCGTGGCATCACACAGCTCACAGCAACCTCCAACTCTTGGGCTTAGGCGATTCTCTTGCCTCAGCCTCCCAAGTAGCTGGGACTACAGGTACCCGCCATAACGCCTGGCTATTTTTTTGTTGCAGTTTGGCTGGGGCAGGGTTTGAACCTGCCACCCTTGGTATATGGGGCTGGCGCCCTACTCACTGAGCCACAGGTGCTGCCCTCTAACTAAACTTTCTAAATAAAACTTCTTTTCTGGGTGGCGCCTGTGGCTCAGTGGGTAGGGCGCTGGCCCCATATACTGAGGGTAGTGGGTTCATAAACCCAGCCCTGGCCAAATTGCAACAAAAAAATAGCCAGGCGTTGTGGCAGGCACCTGTAGTCCCAGCTACTCTGGAGACTGAGGCAAGAGAATCTCCTAAGCCCAGGAGTTGGAAGTTGCTGTGAGCTGTGTGACGCCATGGCTCTCTACCAAGGGTGATAAAGTGAGACTCTGTCTCTACCAAAAAAAAAAGAACTTTTCTTCTTATTCTTCATGCTTATACTGCAAAGCCTCATCCATTCAATCCTCAACTACTCTGTATTCTTATGACTCCACCAATCCAGAGTCCTAACCCCAGACAAGGACAATCATAGCCCATATTATTTATCTTTTGAAGGCTATATACTTGGATTATCTGTGGCTCTGGAAATGTTGTTGAAACCTCGTGAAGGAAGAAGAAGATGGAGATGTTCTTGGTCTGTTCCACTGTTATGCAGCCAGGCTTTGAAGAAAATCTCCATGCTGATGGTATCATTGTCTATAGTCTGAAGGTCAATTTCAGTTCCCAGGCTAGAACTCTCTGCAGAAGAAAGAGAAATAGTGCTTAAATTGTTTAATTCTTTCTTTCTTTCTTTCTTTTTTTTTGAGAAGGGGTTTCATTCGTTTGTCCAGGTTGTAGTGAGTGATGTCATCACAGTTCACTGTAATCTTGAACTCCTGGGCTCAAGCGATCCTCCCTCTTCTCGTCTCAAGGAGCTAGGAATATAGGTACATGTCACTACAGCTGGCTAAGTTTTTAAGTTATTATTATTATTTTTTGTAGAGATGGGGCTTGCTATGTGGCTCAGGTTGATCTCAAAATCCTTGGCTCAGGTGATCTTCCCACCTTGGCCTCCCAAAGGGCTAGGATTATAACGTGAGCCACCACATCTGGCCTGTTTAACTCTTTAATTGTGAGTTTTGAAAAATATAAATGTTTAAACACACCGATCATTTGACCCATAAATTGTACCTCTGAATTTCTAGCCTGGAGACATTCTTTGATAGTACACAAAGATATATATATATATATATGTTTAGTATAGCACTGTTGTAATAACAAATAATCAAAATCTCAAACAGGAACCAATTCAAATGCCCATCAGTAGGGAAGTGTTCAAGTTATGGCACCCTTAGGCTGGGCAAGGTGGCTCACTCCTTTAATCTTAGCACTCTGGCAGGCCAAGGTGAGTGGATTGTTTGAGCTCACAGGTTTGAGACCAGCCTGAGCCAGAATGAGATCTCATATCTAAAAAGAAATTAAAAAGAAAGCCAGGTGTTGTGGTGGGAGCCTGTAGTCCCAGCTACTTGGGAGGCTGAGGAAAGAGAATCACTTGAGCCCAGGAGTTTGAGGTTGCTGTGAGCTATGACACCACAGCAACCTCAAACCAAGGTTGACAAAGTGAGACTCCATCTCAAAAAAAAAAGAAAAAGTTATGGCATCCTTAAACTATGGAGTATTATGCAGCTGTTAACAAAGTAAGGCTAAAACTACTGATATGGAAAACTAAGAGATAATGAATAAAGGAAGTTGTGGAACAGACATAATATGGCCCTTTATATAAACTTATGTTTTCATATAAATTTATATGAAAATAAAACTGCCTCAATACATATAGATGTATGTACATGCATTTTACAAAGGTTTGGAAGCCTACCATCAAACTGTTAACAGTGTCTAAGGAGTAGAAATGGAGTAGGGTTCTGAGATATGTTCCTTTTTTACTACTATTCATACTTCTGTACTGTTTGAATTTTATTGGAACATTTGAGAATATAAAAACAACCCCCAAATTGTATAGCAATGCAAATTAAATGATTAACAAGGGAGATTTCAACTTCATGTTTTTTTTTTTTTTTTTTTTGTAGAGTCAGGGTCTCACTTTATCACCCTTGGCAGAGTGCCGTGGAGTCACACAGCTTATAGCAACCTCCAACTCCTGGGCTTAAGCGATTCTCTTGCCTCAGCCTCCCAAGTAGTTGGGACTACAGGCACCCACTACAACACCTGGCTATTTTTTGGTTGCAGTTCGGCTGGGGCCAGGTTTGAACCTGCCACCCTCAGTATATGGGGCCAGCACCCTACTCACTGAGCCACAGGCGCCACCTGACTTCATGTTCTTATAGTGAAAATGTGTTCAATTATTACTGCTGTTATAAAAAGTGAATTTAAAAAACTAAAAGCAAGATGGATTTCTGAGCTCCTCCATATGATACAGAAGTAAGCATGAAGCATTAGTCATTGGCACAGTGTATCTCACAAGTATAGTCAGCAGCAAAGAGGGTGGAGATGTTCTGCTGGAGTGTGATTTAATTCCAAATCCAAATGAATGGTGCCAGGTAAGTGGTGTACAAAGGCTTTCCTGGTGTACTTCCAGCTTCAGGCAACACTACATAATTTAGGGTCTGAGTCTTCAGGTAAAGACAAATATAAGGTGGTGGGGGAAGCACAGAAGAAAGGAGGCAAGAGCTGGAAGGAAACTGGAGAGGAATGTGACTTTCTTTGCTTCATCATGAGGGACTCTCTGAAATACTTTTACAAAGAGCTTAAGAAAAACCAGTTGCTCCAATGAATTAACTTCTGTGTATGACTCATGGACTCCAGGGAGAAGGCTGGACTATTTCTAGAACGACATTCCTGAGGAAAGTCTGCAGAGGTGGCAGACTTTCCACAGGGAACAAAGGAGCTTCAGTGCAACCCGTTGGTGAGATTTAGATGACTTCATGTCATATATAATAACTTACCCTGTGGCCAAAAAGGGGCACCAAATGTTCTCTATGCCAGAATGTACTATCTTCCATGAATACTTAGGAAGCTTTATTAGTAAGCTAGTCATTTCATTCATTCATTCCATCATATATATATGATACTTTGTGTCCTTAAGGAGTTTATAAAGCAACATTAATCTTGACCATTCATTCTCAAATCTCATCTGCCATCCATGTTTTAGAGTAGTACTGTGATATGTACAAAGTAACTGCCAGTGAATCCTTTCTTTCTTTCATTTTTCCTTTTTCTCAGATACAGGCTCTTGCTCTGTTGCCCAGGTTGGACTACAGTGCTGCAAACATAGCTCACTGCAGCCTCCAATGTGTAGGCTCAAATGATTATTCTGCCTCAGCCCTCCTGGGTATCTGGGATCATAGGCATGAGACATTGTGCCCAGCTAATGTGAATATTATTTTGCCACAGGCAAAACAAAAAGCAATTTAATTTTTTCTGAGCGTGAAGCCTAAACTTTGATTTGGATAACAAGTATGGAAATGACTGAGTGGCTTCTCTTCAATGAGGCAAACAGTTCTTAAAGCATAAGGGGCAGTTACAGAACTAGAGTAATGAGCAAAAGAGCTCAGAAAGTAGAGAGGATAAAATTGCCCATAGTTCAAATGACACAATTTTGAAGAAGAGAAATAAGTGTTTCTTTCTTTTTTTTTTTCTCTAGGGAAAGGGTAGACGATTAGAAACTCCTACCATGGACAGTGTGAGGCCATAATGCAGATATCTCTCACTAAAAATCTGGAAATAAGGTTGAGCATGGTGGCTTATGCCTGTAATCCCAGTGTTTTGGGAGGCTGAGGTAGAAGGATTTCTGAGGCCAAGAGTTTTAGACCAGCCTGGGCAATATACATAGTAAGATTCTGTCAGAAAAGAAAGGAAAAGAAAAAAAGAAAAGAAAAGAAAAGAAAAAGAAAAAGAAAAATTACTTGGTAGTTGATATTGCACCCGTAGTTCCAGTTACTTAGGAGGCTAAGGTGGGAGGTTTGCTTGAGTCCAGGAATTTGAGGCTGCAGTGAACTATGGTTGAGTGACTGCACTCTAGCCTGGGCAACAGTGTGAGGACCCTGTCTCTAAACAAATAGACAAACAAAGAAAACCCCCCAAAGAGTGTGGAAATAAGAAAAATAGGGGTTTCCTCAGACAGTTAAACTATAAAATTAGCACAGAGTGGTGAAGTCAGTGAAAAATAATTACCTCAAGAATTGAGAATGATATATTGACCAGAGCAAGATTCAGCTGTACCCTTATTGATGGTATTGGCATATCTAAGGAATGAATGTGTCTATTGGAAGGGTAGAGGGTTAGCCAGAAATGGAGAGACATGGGCACACTCCACCCAGTACTTGCGCACAAGTGGCTCAGAGAAGGCATGCTGTCTCAGCAGATGTGTCCCAAAGGCAAGGATATGTTTGTCAAGCCTTTGCTCTTGATGATTTTGGTGGTTATGGTTCTTCTTCTTCTTCTTTTTTTTAGAGATAGAGTCTCACTCTGTTGCCCTCAGTAGAGTGCCACGGTGTCACAGCTCACAGCAACCTCCAGCTCTTGGGCTTAGGCAATTCTCATGCCTTAGCCTTCTAAGTAACTGGAACTACAAGTGTCCGCCACAACGCCTGGCTATTTTTTTGCTGCAGTTTGCTGGGGGTTGGGTTTGAACCCACCATCCTTGGTATATGGAGCTGGCGCCCTATTCACTGAGCCACAGGCACTGCCCGGTGGTTATAGTTCTAGCTTAACTTTCAGTCTTGAGCTTGGGAAGGTGAGTGTGTGTCTCTGGAAGAATGTTGACAAAATCAACTTTCTCATCCTGCAAAACTAAAGAACCAGGTCCGAAGGATAGCCCTATATGAAGGAAAATGCTGTGCCTCCAGGTCCACCTGGCAGCCAGCCAACTAGTCTTCCTTGCTGACATCTCACCCACTTTCTGACATTCTTTTTAACTTCTTTTTTTTTTTTTTTTTTTTTTTT